CTGGTCAGCCCAGAGAGCCCTGATTTCTTCGGTCTAAAGCTGCTGGTGTGCTGATGAGGTGCCATCAACATGCTGGTATTTTTAAGGGAACTGAGAATAAGCAGTTTGGATTTGAGGTGCAATAGGTTCAACATAAGACCAGCTGTATATGTTCACAAGTAATGGCCAAAGCTTGGGGAGGGATGAACTTAAAATACATTAATTATGAAAGAGAAATGGAGGGCTTGAGGGGTAAAACTAACAAGCTCTGTGCTTGCAGGGAGAGACGCTATTCTAGGCTTAGGTTGGTTAGTAAATTCTATGTGTTGAGTGCTGCTGTAGTGGAATGTCAAGTTCATCCTGATTCATAAAAATGAAGACAACTATACTTTTAGTTCGAAAGATTTTGTACTTAGTTTTAACTACATATTCTAGTAGATATAATATGTTCACAATTCATCAATAATATTAAATCAGCAAAGGGGATATTTTTCTTTTTTTTAAAGCACAAGCATTATTCAGGACTAACATGCCACAGCAGCTGTTGCTGGTATGAACAGACAAGAGACCCTAAAATCTAAAAGGAAGGAAATGTTGCAATGCTGGACTACATGCAAAAGTAAATTTGTTTGCGTAGTTGTCCACGCAATTTGATCTTGAATGGTATACTGCAAAGCTCAGCAATCTTTCTGGGAAGGGCCAGAAAGTAAATATTTTAGACTGTTTGGGCCGCGTATCATCTCTATCACATATTCTTTTTTAATATATATAACCCTTTAGAAAAAAAAGTAAAATCCATTCTTCTGACCCCTGGCATATTATAAAACCATAAGCACCCGGTTCTTTTTTTTAAATGGGCAGTCTACACTTTCAGGTGGCTTGCCTTCTGAGTCCCCCACGTTAAGTGGAATGGGCCCTGGGCAGGTGAGGAAGCCTCTGTGTCTCTGTGCTTGCCAGGTGAGTGACTGCACAACTGCCCCTGTGAAGGATGGAGCAAAGGATTTCTCCTGAGCACTGAGCAAAAGCCACCGGGGCTCTGGGAAAAGGAAGATCAGACAGAGAAGGTAATGGACGGAACTGACCAGCTCTGGACCGGTTCCAAGGGCAAAAGCAGGAGCAAGGACACCCTCTGTGAAGTGCCCAGGGTGGTTCGCGGGCCCCCAGTACAGCACAGCAAAGCCCAAGTGCGGGCAGTATCAGAGGGTGCTGGGTTTCTGCCTGGCTATGCTTATCTGTAAAGGAAAGATGTGGGATCCTCGAGTCTTCCAATCAGCCCGTGATAGAATACAGGAGCCTGTTGACATTTCACGGGATGAATTATATCAAAAGGCTTACAATAATTCTGCTTGTTTTAAATAATCTTTCCTCTTTTTTTTCCCTGAAAAGGATTTGGGAACAAGCCTGGGGAAGAGTACTGCCAGGAGGTGAGGCTGCCTTGTCAATGTGATATACACAGACATGATTTAACACTTTTTAGATAAAAATCCCAGTATTCAGTATATATCAAGCCATAAGACACAAAATTAATAGCAAAGAACTAAAAAAAATGACAATTACCTGTTTCAAAACAATTTAAACAGTCATTGCTTTGGGACCACTGACAAAACTCTTTTCACTGACATGACATTCAACTTCATACTGAAAATTACCATGGAAACTTATCTTTGAGTTTTGGGCACAGGGAAAACTAAAACCTTGGAAGTTGATCGGATTTGATCTAAAGATATAATTCACAACTTCTCAGTCACATTCGGGTTATAATATGCTCCAATTTTTTATTGATCCTTTCTAAAGCACTTTAAGCCTCTTATTTTTGACTTACCTTTAATAAAATTATTTTGAAACAATAGTATGTGACTGAAAAAAAAATAGCAGTATCAACACATTTTTATTTTCCTAGAAGCTGGCCAAAAATATTATCTAAGAATAAACAATGCTGTGGGTTGGTGATCTTTGTTTGCACCTCATGAAAAGACTTCTTTTCCATATCTAAATTTGAGAGTCAGAGGAATGAAAATCCAACTACAGTAGACTAAACTTATTTTAAAAGAAGTAAAATCTTGGCTTCCTTTAGTAATAAACAAGAAATGAAGCCAGAGTCAGCTATGTGAGTGAAATGAGGCCTAGGCCACATTTCAGATCTCTGCGTTTCTATTTGTTCATGGGTTCTAGCTCTATAGGCTAAAGGTGGTCTCATTGTTGGCTACTGTGATGGTGATCTGAAGAAGGAAGATGGGACACTAAGGTAGCTCAAGTTTAAGGGGATGGAAGTTGATGTGCTATATCAATATTAATATGTCTCCTTTTAGCAAGCAGAAATAAATGTAAAACAATAAAATTGTGATAAAGAAGGAGAAAAAAAGAAAAGGGCAGTGAGGAAAAGAGGCAGAAGAGAAGATAAACCAGGGAAGATTTATTCCTGAAATAGGATTATTTTATCAAGCAGGGGTCAGCAAACTTCTTCTTAAAGTCCAGATAGTAAATACTTTAGGCTTTGTGGGTCATATGGTCTCTGTTGCAGCTACTCAACTCTGCCCGTGCAGTGTGAAAGCTAACATAGGCTATCTGTGAACAAATGGGCATGGTTATGTTCCAATAAAAAGTCATTGACAAAAACAAGCAGCCAGCCCACGGTTTGCAGACCCTTGATGTATCATCTGTAGGCCAAAGGTAGCCTGCACTGGTTGACTAAAATAAAAAAGAACAGGTACAGCTCCCTGGGCTAATGGCCAGCACCTTGGGGTATTCCCAAGTCTCCCAGCCAGCCCAGTCCCAGGTGTTGTGACAAGACACCAGACTTAGTGATATGACACCATCGCCAGCTTGTATCAACATGGCATGCTGTCCTTTCCTATGTGGCTCTTAGGTCCACTAATTAGTAGGAATGTTGCCCATAAATGAGAGTGACAGCTTCAGCTGTCAGCATAGAATCCATCATAGGGCAGGAAAGAGGCCACTAGAATAAATGAAAACACCAATTCAAAACAGGGATTTGAACTGGTTCGTTCTGGTTTGAACCCCTGCTGAGAATTCGCATTTCCACCCCAGATATACTGAATCAGAATCTACATTTTAACAAGATTCCAAGATGATTATGTATAATAAATTTTGAGAACCACTGCTCTACTAGAGGTATTCAGAATTGGTTCCTAACCAGCAGCATTAGCATCGCCTGGGAACTTGTTAGAAATGCAAATTCTCAGCAGGGGTTCAAACCAGAATGAACAGGTTCGAAGACCTGATTCAAAGTAACTGTCTTGAAGTGATGCCTTTTACTGATGACCTATCTGAACAGTGAGAAACTCACCTGGGCAGTGTGTGACGTGTAAAGGATCCCATTGGAAAGCACCACAGATATAAAAGGATGACTAGTTACACATCTTCTGTACATACTATTATGTGGATAACAAGGCATGAACCTACAGGGTAAGATTTTTTTTTTTTAAAGATAAGGCTTGTGTAGAAGTCTTTAATGAACTACAGACACAACAGAATTGGCCTAGCTAAGAAATCTAAGGGACCAGTGACTGCTGATCAACAGACACTAACATTCTTATATGTAGGAAGCTTCAAGAGAGAACAAATGTTCATAGCCTTCCTGCTGTGCTGCAAGACTGCTACACATCTGAGGAAGTGGGAGAGTCGAGGCCCGGGATCCTCCCGGAGAGGCTGTCTCTGTGTTGTCCTCCCACACCAGGGAGCCTCAGGGAATAGAAAATGGGTCTTGTGAAGAAGGCCTACTTCCCAGGCAATTCTCGGTTCCTTTGGAAGCTCAGAGGGGAGACGAGTGTCCTCTGGCCATCAATTCTGCTCCAATATTGGGACAGTTGCTACACTATGTACAGGCCTGGGAGCAGAAATCAACTTCTGATTTGGAACCTGGAGTGAGGGGCAGACTTCCTGTCAGTCTGGTGGCAAGCCATACTGTGAAGATGGCCATAGGAAGGAGGACTTTGCAAAGGAGGAAAAACAAGGGGAGACTTGAGTCAGTGCCAAGCCTGGGGCTTGGAGGTGTCTAGGTGACAGGTTTGCCAGCATCTGCTGTAGGGGTAAAAGGACTTTACAGAGGAGGTCCTCGAGAGTTGTTTCTGTTTTTTTTTTTTTTTCCTTTTTTCTATTAGCAAAATTATCTGAGTCAGCAAGAATGAGATTCAACAAATATAAAAACAATTCTAAACTTTTAAGTATCCTAATTATGTAGAAAACCAGTCTATTTAAACATAGACACTATTATAAAGTAAAAGTTGATTTTAAAGACGGTCCATTGCATTGTTAGGTGTGTAAAACAAATACATACACACTGATACTGTTTCTCAAATGCAGTCTAGAATGAGAGAGAAGGTTATTACCTTGAAGTAAGCTTCTTTTTTTTTTTTATGAAAAAGACCTTAGAAAAGTAATGGAATGAATTAGAAACCTAGAACCGGAAAAATGCCACCCACTTACTGCCTCACACCTCTCCCTACCATAATCCAAGCACCCTTCCAAGGTAGTCTATGTGTGGCCAGAGGGGATCGCAAACCTATGTACAGAAATCAGCACACGCGACATCGGCAAACATCAGATGTTTAAGTCCCACAAAAACAATAATCCAGTGACAACTATATGGAAAGATAGATTTTTTTAAACTTCAAAACCATTTTTTTAGATTAAATGAACCTACTCAAAACATATTAATGCTTCTGTGCAACTTAATGCTGAGAAAGCGTTGCCAAGATACACACTCAGCAGTTTCATTATTACAGGTAGCTCTTGAAGGGCTAAAGTCAAAGATACTAAAAAGGAAAAAAAGAAAAGGTTCATGGGAGAGAGGAGACTTTAAAAAAAAAAAAAAAAAAGAGGGCTTCACTGCAGATAGTAAGCTTTACTGTCTATGAAATTCAACAAAAATTTCAATATCCCACGAATCAAATGCTTTTCTCCAGTCCTTTCCAATTATCAGAAGTTTTCACTATAGACAGCAAACCTTTAATAGAATGTGTAGAGGGCCTGTTTTATCATGATTTGAATGAACTAATGCGTTAAAAAAAAAAAAAAAAGTCCATCTGGGTTTATCTAAAGATATCAGAAGCAACCTAAACGGAAAACTTTTAATGCAAAGGAGAGGGCAGCAGCTGTCCACACAAGCCTGTTTTGGTGACAGGGCATGTTAAAGAAGCTGGTCGAAGCTTTAACAAGCAAGTCTTTTTTTGTGGAGTGGCCCAGTGGGAATGCCAGGTACATACTGTTAAAGACAATAATGGAGCAATGTTACAGGCACTGAGTTAGAGCCAATATGCCTGCCTCCGGTTCATTTGGGAAAAGCAAGCAACATCACTTACAAATATTGCAGCTCTCACAGGGAACAGAGCCTGACACGATGTGGGCAGGCATGATACTTAAAAGCATTTTATTACCAGTAAGGTGCTAACCAATCAGAATGGACAGCCACTCTAAACAAGTCTACTCACAGCGGAGCATGCAGCTGAACACCAGCTCTAGGTATAGAGTGTGTGGGGGCCCAATTTAAGATGCTGGAGCTGCTTCCTCCAACTGCAAGACTGCTTTGACTTTTATATAACTCTCTGTTTAGACTTTTCTGGGTCTGGTGCCAAAGGCATGGGGATGCTCACTGGGCCACATCTAAACCACCTGGTCTGTGCTATTATCCAGTTCATGGACACCCTGGCACACTGCATGGGGAAGAAAGAATTTTACTGTAAAATTGGGACTGGGAGACATTTGTGGCTGATAACCACATGCAAATGCACCCAAATACCCATGCACACATAAACTGTTAAACTTTTCTATTTACTGGAAATAACATTTTGGGTGTCTCCGAATATGGAAGTACCCTGAAGGAAAATTAGAACAGTCACTCTGTGTCCTAATCATCAGATTACAGCTACAAAAAAAGAAAAAAATAGATTTTTTTCTAAAGTTGGATGTAAACTTTGTTAGAGTGTTAGCAAGCTTGTAAGGTCAAACTTTGAAAAGGGTGGTAAGAATCAGGAATACGGTTTGGGGATGCAAATAATTCTTAGAGATCATAACCAAATATTAACACCCATGACACATCTGTTGTCCCACGGGCACATAATTTAGAATACATGTTCTCAAATGGCAAAGAATCAAAGGTGAGAGGCTTGATCAACAATGAATATGATTTTTTAAAAAGGGGGCAAGAGAAATATCAATCTTTCATAATAACTATAAATCCCCTCTGCATTCTCCATATACCATAAAAATGATTTGGTTTAGCTTTCAAATATCATTTAAACAGACAAACAAATAAGGTAGAGAGGGAAGTTTACTGCTGGGGTTTGCAAAGAGTAGCATCTGTTCATGTATAGATGCTGCAGGGTGGCTGCTGAAAAGCTACTTTCATGTGTATGAGGGTGGTCTTCTCGGCTACAGTACAAGTGCTTGTGCATCAAGTATAAAATACAAGCCTTTAATCACATAGATCAGCTTTTTAGCTTTTGTAAATTTAAAAAACAAAAAGGATAAATAAGGCACTGTACTTTTAAAAACTAAAACTGCTTGGTTCCAAGTTTAAAACCCAAGGAACAACCAGAATATAATATATAACTTCCCTTACTCAGCCTCAGAGAAAGACTCTGCAAGTTCCCTTCTCCATCTGAGACGTATTTTCTGACACCTCAAACTGTGGTGTTCTCCATTAGCTGCGGATTTGAAAGGCTTGATAAGCTTATAAAAGCAGATTTAGTTAATGCAAAATAAAGGGTTACTTCTATGGAATAGTTTCACTTTTGGCTGCCGTCCTTCAAATCACTTTGCATCCAGCCGTCTCCGTTTGCTGTGGATAGAGTCCAGCTTTGCCTTCAGCTTGCGCTTTCTCTGGGCAGCACTGTTTTCTGGGCTTTTCGTCAAGGGTCTGGCCCGAGTCTTCCCGCTGCTCTGCTTCCTGTTCGTGGATGTCTGTGACCTTGAAGAGGATTCACCTGCCCCTTTTTGCTTTGCAGGTTTAGTCAGTGTTTCTGAGACGGGGGGCTGGGTAGGTCTTTTGTTAGTATTCTCTTTTTCTTTCCTGGAGGGAGGGCAGCCCTTCCCAGGGGACTTTTTAGGGATCTTCACTTTATTTTCTTTCAAAGAGGTCTTTTTGGGCAGTTGGCTGATTTTGTCTTTTGTGGCTGGCTTCTTGGCAGCAGAGGCTTTGGTGGATCCATCAAAATGCTTTTCTTTGCTGGCTTTCACCGCTGGTCCCTTGTCCTTACTGGAGGGAAGGGACCTGTCCTGAGTGCTGCCTTCTGTTCTCTTTCTTTTATTCTGAACTTCTGCTTTAGGCAAGCTTTCAGACATCTGCTTCCCTTTCCTTCCCTTCACTCCCTCAGTATTCTTGGGCTTGACAGGAAAGCCATCTGCATCCACCTGCAGGGCAAGCTTGGGGGACATTAGAGGGTTGATGCACACACTCTTACGACTCTGTTTACTTTCCACAGCCACACCAAGCGAGCTTTCTATTTTCTCATTCTTGATCAAACGCTGTTGGGCTCTGAGCTTTCCTCGAATATTGGAATATTTTCTAAGAATTCGGGTACTGGCTGGAGTAGGCAAGTTTGTGGGAGGATGGCTATTTCTCTCTTCCTTCACTTCCTCTATGCTGCCTTCAGCATTAGGGCCGAGGCTGACGTCACTGCCATCCTCTGTCTCCACTTGATCAGGATTCTCTCGAAATTTAGCCCAGAGCTTCTGTGTTTTCCAATTATTCCTAACAGGAGTAGCTCCAGGGAATTTCTTTAAGTGTTTTTTCAAGCGCTCAGCCTGTAGCGAGCTTGGATACAGGCTGGAAGGAGAGTATTTCTGAAGAGGATGCTTAACAGGGGGGGTGTCCCCTGGAAGACGAGTGTTGAGCTTCTTCACAATTACCAGAGATCGGGTTTCAGTTGTCTCTAAGAACCACTTACAAACATTAGATAATTTAAAGTTTGTCATAAACAGCATCTGAACAGGGGAAAACTTTTGAACTTCCAATGAACCTCTACATTTCCGTGACCTTTTCTTGCTTTTCCAAATCTCCTTCAGTTTATCTGACTTGTTCCTTGCTCTTGGTGTTGGTTGTACTTCTTTCTCCAACTGGATCCAGCCCTTCTGAACTTTCATGTACTGGGCATTGAAGCTGGCGATAAGCTCTTGGTTCTCCTCCTCAGCACACCATTCCACAAACTTTGGCTGGTCATCTACCACTGTGTCCACATCATCCTCTTCTAAGGGATCTCCACTCTCTGAAGCTTCATTTTCCTTTGGCGTTGAGTTTACTAGTGCAGCTTCCCTTTCTGAAGTCACTTTTGTAGTATCCGAGGAGTCCAGAGAATGGGCATGTCTTAGGTTGTAGGTTGAAGAGGTCAATCTTTTGGGCCTTGGTATCAATTTTGGTGGCCCAGTAGCATCACCATTTCCACTACTTGACAACCCAACTGAGCTAGATGGTTCATCATTATTATCTTTATGCTGGGTGTTTTCCCTGTCTACCTCACTTACAATCTCCTCTACCTCCTGCATAGGAATATGTCCTGGCTTCTCTTTTGATTGCTCTGGCTCCCTCTTACAGGGAATACTTTCAGAGAGGGCATGAGCATTTTCCACACTTAACTTAGACTGAACACAGATTTCTAGTCTCTCTTCAGGCAGGGGCTGACCAACTGTGGTTACGGGATCACTGCTGGGGAAAATCTCTCTTTTCTTCTCCTTGGCTTCTTTTGCCAGCATGTTTTTAAAAGTCTGCCTGGTGATGATCCCACCTCTGTCACCCTCCTGCTCAGCATCTTTCTCAGAGGGATTTTCATTGACATTTGGGTTTTCAGTGTCCTGCAGAGCTTTTGTATGGAAACTGCCCATCTGAAAGTTGTCAGGTGCTGTCCCACTAGGGTATCCTTCTTTTTTGGAACGTTTTGCAGTATAATTTTTAGAAACCTTGATCTCAGGACAAACAGAGGAAGAATCTGAAATTTGATTTCTTAGGAACCTATCAGCAGAGGAAGAATCTGAAAGTTGACTTCTTAGGCACCTATCAGAGGCCTCAGGGAATTTTTTACCTTTTTTCTTCTTGTCTAAATTCTCTTCAGGAGATTCAATGTTTTGATCACACATAACTTTTTCTGAAGGATGTCTGACATCACTTCCTTCTTCTAATTTTCCTGTATCACCTGCTGCCTCACTTTCTTCAACTTCACTAGGGTTTTCATTAGTAAAAACACTGTTTTCCCTCAAGAGTAGGTGAGTACTGAGCTCCTGAGCATCTTCAATCTTGGGCTCAGGACTGACGCTTGTCTCGGCCTTAGGACTGACATTTGTCTCAACCCCAGGACTGACGCTTGTCTGGGTCTCAGGGTCGACGCTTGTCTCAACTCTAGGACTGATGCTTGTCTCAACCCTAGGACTGACACTTGTCTCAGCCTTAGGACTGACATTTGTCTCAACCCCAGGACTGATGCTTATCTTGACCCCAGGAATGATGCTTGTCTGGGCCTCAGGACCGAGGCTTGTCTGGGGCTCAGGAGTGACGCTTCTCTCAGCGCCAGGACTGATGCTTGTCTCGACCCCAAGACTGAAGCTTGTCTCAGCCCCAGGACTGATGTTTGTCTCGGCCTTAGGACTCACATTTGTCTCGACTCCAGGACTGACACTTCCCTCAATTCCAGGACCGACAATTGTCTGGGCCTCAGGAATGACGTTTGTCTGGGCCTCAGGAGTGACGACTGTCTCAGCACTAGGACTGATGCTTGTCTCAGTACCAGGACTGACACTTTTCTCCACCCCTGGACTGATGCTTGTCTGGGCTGCAGGACTGACGCTTGTCTGGGCCTTAGGACAGATTCTTGTCTCAGACTCAGAACTGATCCTTTCGTTGTCCTCAGCCTTTCCCAGACTCACAGGAGGCTCCAAGTCTACTGAGGGACTTTGATTTTCTGAGCACAGAGGACTTTCCTCTCTATTGACCGTTTTAGGAGAAGAACGAACTTCTGTACGGCTTCCCTCAGAAATGCTCTCAGTAGAGGGAACCAGGTGACAGTCCTGGGGAGCACTCATCTCTTCTGTATCCAGCAGTTCAACTGGTTGTTGGTCTTGCTCATGGGAAGATACCCTACTTGCTGTGAGAGCTGAAATGGTGGAGCTGCCTTCTGGCGTGCCCTCTTCAGGGAGGTGAACAGAGAAAGGCCATACGAGGCTGGAGACTATCATTTCCTTTGACCTGGGGGAACTGCTCTGATTCAGTTTATCCATTATGGAGCAAACCTCAGGCTCTTGAGATCCTTTTTCAGATGAAGTGTTTCTGCCTCCTTCCTTGAGGGAGGTCATTTCCTTACTAGGTTCTTTAGGGCTGTCTTCTCTAGGAAGATGCACATCTACGGTAGGTCTAGGGGCTGAAATTGTAAGGGTCGGCTTGGGAGTAACTACTGCCTCTGATGCCAGTGTTGAGCAGCTTGCTTTTTCCTGGGAGTGTAAATTTCTGGCCAGTGTGCGAACAGTTGGCAGCTCACAACAGTCACCATTGAAAAAGTACCCTCGAGTACTCTTTCTGGCTGTTTTCCGAGACGAAAATATTGATCTTTGATTCTCAAAGTGGCATTCTGTTATCGGTTGACTGATATAGACAACATCACACTGATTATCATAATCGTTTATCCTCAACCCCGATGCCCTTTTACTTTTCCGAGCAGTCTTGATGGAGGTTGATATTGTCTTGGTTCGTGAATGTCCATTAGATGCTTTGTGTACAGCTGGCATGGCACTGGGGGCTAACCAACCATCTTTGGAATGATCATATTGGCCCTTATCACTGGGATATAAATGGTAACCCACCTTATTTCTTCCTAGTGAGTGAAGATGGTTCTCTTGCTTTGGCCTTGCATCTTGTTCATTTGCCTCTAAATCCTGGCACAAAGGCGTTTTTGAGCTACATTGTAAAGCATTCTCTTTGTCAGCAGTGCTAGGCAAGTCCCCCACAAACCTTGAGTCCCAAGCCTCTTCTGATAAAGCTTTGACTGAATTTCTTTGAGGAACAATACAGCTGTTGCCCTCCTCACTGTTCTCAGATGCCACTTTTACTGCAATTAGACTTTCTGCTAATGCTGAGCTCTGCATACGGTCTTTACCATCCTCACATACTTTTGCACTTATGTCTTGCTCCTGTCCAGTGGTTTGCCCTTCCATGTTTTTAGAGATGTGGTGGAAGTTTAATGAGGAAGAATTAGATGCAGTGAGGTAACCCAGAGTGGAACTATCCATTGAACTACCAGTATTAGGTTTAGTGGTTGGAAGTTCAGAAGAATCTTTCTGGACAATAGTCAAGGCATTCTCTCTTCCATCTACCGAGTTTGTCTCGGGAGGAGGCTCCTTGAGGGTCTGTTCTGTCAAGTGTAGAGAGCTGTGTGAGCCTGATGGGTCTATGAACAAATCTGCAGAAGTAGGAGACTTCATATCGAGACACATAGCATCCTTTTCCTTATGTTTGCTGCTTAGCTGGGCACAGCCAGCACTGCAAGTGGATGCCTCCATTGTTGCAGAATCAGAACGTAGCAGGTCCTCTGTGCCCGGCTGAGCTTCAGTGTACAAGTCGTTCAGAACACGAATGAACTGCTTCTGATGATGAGTGCAGAGTTTGACCATAAACTTCTCCAGTGGGGACTTTGATTGATTGTTAGAATCTACTGCTATTGCCTCTGTTGAGTTCTCGCTAGACAGACAAAGAAAAAGAAGAAATTACTATGGTCATTTTCCAAAGAACCATTTTTACATTATGAAATTCACCTGATGTTATTCATATCATAAGGAGAGTGGGTACTCTGGCCAAAACTGCTTCTAAGTCTGCCCAGATACTTTTGATTCAACAAATAAGGAGTGCTTATCTGGTTAAAATGCAAGGCCAGTCTTGTTATATTTTTAATTTTTGGTGACAATATCCTCCATATTTTGAAATGGTCATTTAGAAATAATCTTTATCTTACAGAGAAAAAGTATCATTAAAAATAAATTTTTTTCAATGTAAATTTTGCCTACACTATTTATTAACTTCAGATGGTCAATATATACTTTTGTTTTAGGCCTGGGAATTCCTGTAAAATAATCATTGGTTTATAAGTCTATAATACTGACAAAAATTCAAACATAGTATATTATAAAACTTGTGTTAGAAGTACTTGGAGAATATATAGTTTTAAGATGGTTTCTCCACATGAACTACTGACTGGACTTATAAAATTGCTAACAGTGATGTAGGAGTCCTTCTACCCCTTCCTGGGCCATGGAGGAATAAAGATCAAATAACTCCACATTTCAGACACAGAAAGATGGAATGAAAAGTCAGTTTCTGATTCCTAGCTCTAAGTGAGGAGATAGATATGAAATCACATTGTAAACTGTAAAACTATGTCAATGCAAGGTAGCATAATTATGTCTTCACTTAAACCTCACTTGTTACAGTCGCCTAGACTTCCAATAAACATCTTACAATCTTCTACAGGAAGTCATTCTACATTACAGAACCCTTTTCAATCATTTCCATACTTTATCCAGAACAAACTCTTAGAGCTTAATCTGGACAGTGAAGATGGTGGGAAAGGATGATACTAGATTCAAGACAGGTAAAGGCAATTCCTGCTTAGAAAACCAAGGGTTTTCACAAGCTGCTTTGTACTTCTGGATTTCTGGGCTTTACTATGCCAATGTAGTTGGGGTGTTCCAATTTCTTCAAGTTTTATACAATTTCTCAATCTCTTTCTCTGGATTGTAATTCCTCAGAAGATCATTATCTGACCCTTCATGTAAAATGGCAGAGCACAAAGGGCAGTTTAATAAATGTGTGCTGACTATTGTAAGAACTCAAGAAAAGGTTTAAACACAGAAGAAAACATTCTTTGATGGTTACGAGGGTGGGGAGGGAGGGTGAGCGTTATTCACTAACTAGATAGACAAGAATTATCTTAGGTGAAGGGAAGGACAGCACACACTACAGGGGAAGTCAGCACAACTGGACTAAACCAAAGCTAAGAAGTCTCCTGAATAAAATCAAACACTTTGAGGGACAGAGTAGCAGGGGTGGGGGTCTGGGGACCATGCTTTCAGGGGACATCTAGGTCAACTAGCATAACAAAGTTTATTAAGAAAATGTTCTGCATCCTACTTTGGTGAGTGGCATCTG